AGCAATGACATTTTTTGTTTTTATTAAGTTCAAGTCATCGCCTTGAAGTTAAGAGGTCTGTCAGGTATGCTATATCAATCTTTGATGTGGTGAGGTTGTTGCGCAATTCTGTGTCTTTGTTTTCCAAGAACTCTACGGCAGAATAAAACAGATTGTAAAATCAAGTCAGACAATTTCCTTTTGATAGCCAATGCACTTCTGTGTGAAATATCAATCGGTTGAAATTTTAATCATTAGTAACACAAAGCTGATTAAATAATCTGTCATTTAAAGAGTTGTTTCAGAATTTATTGACTGCTCTGATGACATGTTGCAGTGATTGAAACAGTTGTTCACTTGAATTACTAGCAACCAAATCTTGTCGATGTATAATGCAATGTAGTTGTGAAATCTTTTCGACACCCCGTCAAAGCTATAGCACCTTCTGTAGCAGCTGATATAATATTCTTCCAGTTCCAATATTTTTCATCACGAAACCTTTCCAGTGTTTTAAATATGGTTCCTCCTTTTGTGACTGTCTCTAAATTTCTAGCAAATAATAGTTCTTGACATATTTTTTCATCTTTAATAAATCTCACGTAAGAAGCAATAATGCTTCATTAGTTGGTAAAGTGAACTCATCCAACTGAATTGAAAATTGACTGGTCTTCAGATGGTTGCAAAATGACTCTTCAATGTTTTCAGGCATTTCATCAATTCGTCTTTTCACAGAACTATTGCTCAAAGAAATTTTTCGAATTATGACTGCCGCTGGCTTATGGAGCACAGTAGTAATAACTTCTTTTATTGATGGCAAAATTAACGTTTCTCCGATGGTGTGTGGTTTACCTGTTTGAACAAATAACAAATAGGTATTGCATGTAGCTCGAAGTCCATTATCATCTTGCTTAGCAGCCAATGAAAAAAGTTTTGGTACACTTCGCATTATGCTTCTTTTCCAGGTTTTGAAAATAGGCTACATTTTTATCCTTCTTACTCGTATCTGGATGCATTTTATTCAAATGATTTTGAAGTCTTGAATGCTTCATTGCTTCGTTTGAAAATGTTTTTGAACAAAGAAGGCACAAAGGCAAAGTTGGATTTATCGAATTTTTTATGAATCCATATTTAATATATTTTGCACTATATTGCCGTCTCTTCTTTTTTGCTTCCGATATGGCTTTGTTTTTACAAATATGTAAATAAAGTGTTGAACTTAAATACTTGATTAAAGATTACCCACGAAAAAACTAATGAAAATATAAAAATTGTTACGAGCTTTTATATAGGATTTAAATACAGCACGTACCGACGGGAATAAGACAAACACGCACTTTTATCTCTTTCGACGCTCAATCGTACTGAGCAAGTTAATACAAGTATCGATGAACCAGCCGATTGCTATTAGATTGTACCAATAGCGTTATTTTACAAAAGCTTGTTACAAGTTGATTGCGTACGGCATACAGGCAATTCTATGAAATCTATGTTAAGTATTTCTAGTTTATATACCATCATACAGGGCAGAAATATAAACTAATTATCTGATATTGAGTAGTAGGTAGGTTTTAATTTTAGTAAATATTAAAATATAAAGTATCTAAATGAAATTACAAATCAAGCATCGCCCCCCTAAACCACGCCAACGCCTCCCATTTTTTTACGCCCCTTAACGCCTCCTCTAGGTCTCCAACGCCCACAAGGGGCGTCATCGCCCACAAGGGGCGTCATCGCTCACTTTTAGGAAGACTGGTCTACAATGCCATTGTACAACCAAGTCTCGGTTAATATTATAACATCATAATTGTGTGATATGTTCATGTAGATATTATTTAATTTAGTTCGCAATCCGCGGCAATTTTGATAGGACTGACAATACATTGTTATTTATGTTATTGTATTTTGTATCTAAGAATATATGGTATTGCACCGTTGTACAAATTATTAGAGCCACAGTGGGTACAGGCTAGGATATTCAGTATAAATGCACATGTTGAAGTGTGGCAAAATGGACTTTGTTTACTAATTAATAAAATACCGATAACAAAAACAGATAAAACACAATTATGCTTACCAGAATAGATATTAATGTTGAAGATAAAAACAGTAATAAAATTTTTGGAAGAGTGACTTAGCAGATCAGATTGTAACAATTTAACCAAAGTGTATCTGTGTAAAGTATGTCTTACATAGTATAATACAAATAGGATATTAATTAAATTTAAAAGAGTGCATTCCAAGTCTGAGATACGAAGATACAAAAAAATGACACCACATGTACCTAGTCTATTGTAATTACAATATTTACTTAAAAAATTTGATTAGTTATAATAATATAATGTGTCGAATGTTTCCTTAACCATTTGAGAATATAAATTTTCTTATAAGACATAATGATAAAAGTTGGTTATATTTACATTATGTTTTATGCAGGCGTAAATAATTTAATATTAAACCCGTGGAGGTTAGAGAAGTGGAGAACGATCGCTGTAGAAAATAGTGTCCCAGAAATATGGACAAAATAAGTAAGGCGCTGCGATCGATAAGTTGTCTCAATAATTTTAATTATAAATTATTACAAATATAAATTATTAATTATTATTGATTTATTATTATTTCGGGTATCTATAAAGTTTTGTCATCTGGTTGGGTTCTATAAATATATAATTATAAATTAAAATGAAAAGATAAATATACATAAATATCAATAAAATAAAATAAATACAAAAAATACATAAATAAGTAAAGATCCAACCAGATGGAAGCCCTCGGCAGGGGAGTTAGCTCCTGGTGTAGAATTCTGGCTACTATGTTGTGCCTGTGCAAGTACTCGGAGTTAGAAAGCGCCAACAACCGGAGATCAACCTAAGTGACTCCCCGGGATGGCGACAAGCTCGACAGACGTCGACGGTGCCATCCTTTAGGATGTATGTCCGATAGTTGTTGGTCTTAATAACCTGATCCTGTATTGCACAGACAAAACCCTCGGTTTCCCCGAAGAGGTCACCGAAACGTAGCCAGGTGAGGGAGGCGACTGTATCTACGAAGGGCTCATGTAGAGCCCTGTAGTTCCTCCCGTGGAGCTCTTTCTCCTATACGGCCTCCCTGTCGGAAATGATATGTACTGCCGGGTCCTGCCATTGCGCGTTGACTAAGAATAGAGGGGTAAGCCTTTTATCACTAGAAATGACCTCATTATAGAATGGATCATCCGATCTCGCCAGGAAGTAATGACGGAGGCTGCACACTTCGCGTGGTGAGCGCGCTCAGGAAGACACGCCCACTATGCTTTCGCGGCAAGTACAGCCACATTACCGACTATCTCGGATGATGCATTATATGGGACGTCATGATAGTGCTGACTTTTTTATCCAGGGCGTTAAGTTCAGTCTGAGTCCACCTGAGTATGCCAAAGGTATACATGAGGACAGGCATGACCTAGCCGTTATATGCGTGTGTCTTGTTCACACCGGACAAAAGGCTGTTATGCACTTTGGTCAAGCGTGCATAAAACACGTCGCAAACTGACTCTTTCATACCAGCCTCATCGATACCGATGTTCTGTGACATACCCAGGCATCGGTATGTTTCAGCCTCGAAAAGGGTCCTTAAGTTGACGGGCATAGATAAGTCTATGCCCTCAGAGTTAGCGACTCTTCACCTTTCAACATGGAATACCGCACACTTATCCGTCCCCAGCTCCATTCCAATGGAATTGCTAAATTCACAAGTGATGTGTAGCAATTTCATAAGATGGGGGCGACTGGAGGCGAATAACTTGAAGTCATCCATATAGAAAAGGTGGGTCACTTTTGTCCCTCCTTTCCGTAGCTGGAATCCCCTCCCGGAGCCCTCCAGTAAGCTACTGAGAGGGTTCAGAGAGAGGCAGAACCAAATTGGACTCAGACAATTGCTCTGGAAGATACCCCTTCTTATCCTTATGTGGTTCTCCGCAGCCATCATCCGCTCGCTCAGATGAAAAAGGATCGTACTCCACTGCCCCATACACTGCTCGAGGAAGTCTCTAACTGTACAGTCTATCTTGTACAGCTCGAGGACTCTCTTTAGCCCTGTATGAGGCCCCCGAGTCAAATGCCTTTCTGTAGTCTATCCAGGCGGCGGAGAAATTCCGACGGTTATTATTATTATTATTATTTATTACACCATTGTTTCTTTTTGTCAATAATTGAAAAAATACTTCGCAGTCACTGCTTACCGACGGCAGCGCGGCTATAAATTCTACAAATTTTCAGGGACAGGCGGGCTATGCTTTAGTAAGTAGCGATCGTTTTCCTGTTCTCTAACCTCCATGATTGAAACTGTTTATGACGTTGCAATGCTGCCTGTTGTCAACCGGGTGTTGTTCATTAGATTTGCGCAATGTCCTGGAGGGATCTGATTGCAATAGCGGGTGAAGTATCCATCTTACCAGCCAGAACGGTGCCATGTTTATAACACATACATATTTATACTCGTTTTTCTTAGCAGCAACCCGGCACCAACGAAACAACAATTTGTTATTCAACGTTAAATGCTCGTTAACGTAAATGGTGGCAGGCTGGCCAAGTACGCAGAATAAGGTCGAATTTAACCCTTTCGTAGTACGGCAGGCGGCAATTACATTGTCGCGCAGTGTCCTGTTTGTGAATTTTACTACATATAACTTTGATCATATAGACAGGTATATAATCAAAGCATAACACATTCTTCGGAAGTCGAACATTTTTGTCATCATGAGGTACACGATGAACGGCTATTATATTATGTCGGATGATTGTAAGACGCTTAATAGCATCGGCCAAACGCTCAATTATGCTGATGAGATCACTCACCTCGCCTGTCGGAAATATTAGATATTTCGACATTGCACTGTCTTGCTTGCAGTTCCATGGTATGTATTTTGTTCTCAAGTAGTTTTAATTGAGGTTTAAAGCAATTAGATTGTGATATATTTTGTTCTACAGTTTTCAGTCGACTGTCAAAGAGGTCCTTTCGTTCATTCGAGAAGCTAAGTGATTTCTCTATTTTGCATAGTGGGTTTTAACTTCGTTCAATAATTTATTAAGGTTAAGTTTCAACACATCGTTGTTAAGTTCTAATAAAGCAGAAGTAATCTTTGATAGCTCGCCCTTTAGGGCTGTATATACCGCGGCGGCGATGCTATTTGCGATGCAGTCGATAATGGTTTTATGCCATATTTGCATTTGATTATTAAACTTTTCTTCAAATTTACTCATATTTGTATCAGTTTTATCATTTTCCATTTGTTTAAGTTTACGGTTAGTTATAAAGCTTTAGCTAGCTAATCTTCTTTACCGATGCAGGAATATTACCGTCCCATGAAAACACATTCGGTGGTGTGCGTTGTAAACATATCGTAGTGCGTGGTTGTATCGGGACATGGTAAGGATGGTGTTGACAAAATGTAAGGAAAATGAAAATATTATTATGTTAGGAGACTAATGGAAGGGTTGGGGTGAAGAGGTCTGGTTATGAAAGGATATTGGGAACGTTTGGTGATGAAAGTATAAATGAGAATGGTGAAGACCTCCTCACAGTATGTGTGGAAAAGAATCTTTTTGTGACGAATACTTTTTTTCGTCATAAGAGGATTCACATGTATACATGGGAAAAAGGTGATGATAGCAGCATGATAGATTTCGTAATTGTGGATGAAAGAATGAGGAGCGCAGTCGTAGATACAAGGGTTTACCGGGGGTCCAACGTAGGGATGGATCATTACTTGGTCTTATGTCGAATTAATGGTCTTTTCAAGCGTTGGCGGCATCGGACATCTGTGTCTACCACTGCGTTACAGCGTATAAGAATAGAGAAGTTACAAGATGAAGATGTGAAAGAGAAGTATAAATGTAGACTGAGAGAAAATATTAGATGTTTGAATGAGTTGTGTATGAATGATTTAGACTTGAATACTGTGTGGGATAATATTAAGAAAGGTTTGGTGGATGCCGCCACTGAAGTATGTGGTGTAAGTAAGAGAACAAATGAAAGGAAAAGTAATACGTTGTGGTGGGATGATGAGGTACGGGTGGAAGTTGAATCAAAGAAGAAAGCATGGTTAGGTTTACTAGCAACCAAAGCTGGTAATTCTTCTGGTATGAATGATGAGATTGAAAGAAAAAAGGCAGAATTTAGACGTCTAAATAAGAGAGTAAAAGAAGTTGTTGAAAGGAAAAAGAAAGAAAGAACGGATAAGAATAATAGAAGGATATCTGATAATTTCCAGGCTAACGTAAAAATGTTCTGGAAACTCGTAAGAACTGCCAGGGGAAATACAAAACAGCCTATTATGAATGCTATAAGAGACGAGAATGGATGTATTCTGAATGATGAAGTTTCGAATTTAAACAGATGGAAGGAATACTTTGAAAGCGTGTTTATGAGTGAAGAGTCGTCCGAATTAAATGAACTAGAAATTCCGAAAAAAGTGGAAAGGGGTATGGAGATAAGTGTAGATAAAATACTGAAAGCAATGAAAAGCAGGTAAGGCAGCTGGATATGATAGAGTATCACTCGAGATGCTAAGGGCTGGAGAGGGAGTGGTGGCAAGCCTGCTGTACACCTTGTTTAATTTATGTTGGGAATTAAAACGGGTACTGGATGACTGGTGTAAAGCAGTGATAGTACCAATATATAAAGGAAAAGGGTCACAGCAGGACTGCAAAAACTACCGTGGTATCAGCTTGCTTAGTATTGTGGGTAAACTGTATGCTAAGGTGTTAATTGAAAGAGTTATGAAAGAAACTGATGGAAAAATTTGGGATGTGCAAGCGGGTTTTAGAAAGGGAATGGGGTGTACAGATCAAGTCTTTTCCATGCGCATGATTGCGGAGAAGTTTTTGGCCAAAAACCAGAAAGTTTTTTGTGGACTTGGAAAAGGCTTATGACAGAGTGGACAGGAATGTGTTACGGCAAACACTGAACTCATACGGGTTGAGCGCTGGTTTGATACAGGCACTAAGGTCTCTTTATAGGGACTCTAGTGCTTGTGTCAGGATCAATGGGGTCTACTCGGACTGGTTTGGCATCCAAAAAGGTGTCAGACAGGGCTGTGTAGCTTCCCCTTGGCTGTTCAACCTATTTATGGACAGGTGTTTGCAAACTTTGAAAGATGAAGAATGTGAGTTAAGAATGGGCGAGTTAACCGTCAAATGCCTTTTGTATGCCGATGATCAAGTCATATTTGCGTAATCGGCGGCTGAGTTGCAAATGATTGTTACATTAATGAACTGGGAATTAAAAGAAAAGGGAATGAAAGTGAACGCAAGTAAGACGAAAGTGATGGTTTTTGAAAGAGAAGAAAGCAAAACGGTATGTGAAATAAGAATAGGAGAGTTAATTGAGCAAGTGGATGAGTTTGTGTATTTGGGATGTGTATTTAGCAGGGATGGTAGATATGATAGGGATATAGAACGACGAGTAAATGCAGGGAATAGAGTGAATGGGGCACTACACTCTATTATGAAGAACCAGAATGTGTCAAAACAGGCACGTATGGTAATTCATAATGCTGTGTTAGTCCCTACTTTAATGTATGGTAGTGAAAGCTGGGTGTAGCAGAAGAAGCACGAAAGTAGAATAAATGCTGTAGAAATGCGGTCTTTAAGGAATATGCTAGGGTTGAATCTGAATGACAAGGTGAGAAATTGCGTGATAAGAGATAAATGTTGTATGCAAGATGATGTTGTGACCAGGATTAAGAAAGGAATGCTTCGGTGGTTTGGTCACGTAGAAAGAATGAATGAGGAAAGAGTGACAAAGCAAATTTATATGGCAGATGTGAACGGCCGAGTCGGGAAGAGACGCCCTAGAAAAAGTTTATCGACCAAATTGGCGATATTTTGAAAAAAGCCCACATTAGAACCTTTAACCGACGAGCATGTATGCGTAGATATATGGATGTAAAGGAGGCGAAAGAGGTATGTCAGGATCGTGCCAAATGGAAGTACGTAGTCTCTGCTTACCCCTCTGGGTGACAGGCGTCAGTGTTTATATATATATATATATATATATATTGTTTGTAATACAGGTTGTTTGGAAGGTTGATGCAAAGCCATAAAGCGGAGCTAGTATAGACTATTCAGAACCATTTGAACCCAACTTGTCTTAGACGAAGTGCGACTATTTTTATCAAACTTTAATGATTTTTGATGACAAAACCCAAAATTTTGGAGTTAATTGTAATTTGTGGACAGTTTGAAAGACAAATCATTTACTTTTTATTTTATTTTATTTTATTAAAGTAATGTGTAAACAGTCCAATGTAACATGATTCAGGCATCTGTGTCATGAAATAAGTTTTTTACAGATATTTGTAGTCAATGATTTATTTAAAGATTGAGGAAAGCTGTTATTTGACGGCATTAAAAAAATATGGATGGTGTTGTTTTCGTTCAAACATTTTTAAAAACATGCCTGGTTATTGTTTTTTCTTTTGAGGCATCAACTATGCGGATAGCATAATATGGGCTATAATGTTGGAAATGATTACATAACAGAGTTCAATTCTAAGTATTAATTGGCACTTCGAAATAAAATTGAGGGGACTCTTCTAACAAAGGCCAACGCGTAGCGCGTGCGATGAGATAGCATGAAGCATGAAGTTTATTACTTGACGTTCTCAGGTAGCGAGCCTAGTAATAAAAAAATAGCGATGCGTAAATTACATTTCACAATAAAAACAACTTAATGGGTAAGACAATAGCATCGTGTTTCTTTCGTCTGGGTAACTACCTGTTTCTTTAAGGGACTCTAGTATACTTAGTTGAGTTACAACTATGTTTATGACTGGACGTTATTTCCTTATTTCTTCTGTGTGTGTTAAGTGACTATGACTTCTTTCTCGAAACCAGGAATATGCTGACATTGTTTTTATGTATGGCAGAACAGACGGCAATGGATCTTTAGTACGACGGGATGTACCAAGAACGCTATCCTAATCGCAGAGTACCAAATGTGAGAGTATTTTACAACACATTTCGTCGGCTTGCTGAAGATAGGATACACCATGTGAAACATGGAGTCAATCCAGGTAGACATGATACTCACATCAAGAAAGATATCTTGGCGGCATTTCAAGCTGATCCACATGCCAGCACTAGAAAAATTGAAATATTTCTCATTGGAAGGTGTGGAATACAATGCACCAAAATAACAAGTACCCTTTTCATGACACTGGTGTTCAAAGTCTTGAATAGCGAGATCCTCAGAGAAGGATTCAGTTTTGTCGTTTTCTTCTCAACGCAGATATAGAAGATGCATGGTTCCTGAAATCAATCTTGTGGACAGATGAAAGTAAATTTTCCAGGGAAGGCGTTACTAACTTCCATAACCTTCATCAATGGGCTGAGAAATCTAATAATCCACATTGGAAAAAGCGGAAGTCTTTTCAAAGGAAAGTCTCGGTCAACGTGTGGGCTGGGATAATTGGCAGAACACGAATTGGGCCCCATATCTTACCGGATAATTTGGATGGCAACAATTATTTGGAATTCCTACAAAATAATCTTCCAGAGCTTGTAGAAGACTCCGGGGCCCCGATATTCGCTACAGACCGAGAAATCATCTTTCAACAAGATGGTTGTCCAGCGCATTGGACATTAAATGTACGAGAGCACTTAAATAATTGCTTCCCTAACAGCTGGATAGGCAGAGATGGGCCTATCCCTTGGCCCGCCCGGTCACCTGACCTGACTCCACTGGACTTTTTTGTGTGGAGTCGTGCCAAAGAACTAGTCTATACGAATGTGGAAATAAACACAAAAGAACAATTGATTGAGAAAATTAATTCAGCGTTTGAAACGATGAAACTGGAGATGAAGTTAAAAATAACAACAGGAGTGAGAAGACGGGCCCGTGCTTGTGTTGGGAATCGTGGCGAAAATTTTGAACACGAACAATAAATGATTTTAAACAAATTTTTGTTTTAATTATTTCGCCAATAAATTATAATTTTCACCCTCTATTTGGTTTGTAGGCCCTAATTCCATTAATTTGTGAGCTATCCGCGTAGTGGATACCTCAAAAGAAAGAACAATAACCAGGCATGTTTTTAAAAATGTTTGAACGAAAACAACACCATCCATTATAAGGACAATTACAACAAATTATTTAAATACTGTGGTATCTTGCCAATAGAAAAAAAATTAAAACTTACTTGTAGAACAGTTCTTTAATACAAAATTACATCATACCTACGTAAAAACATCAGCTTAGA